ATTTTTTTCCACATTACCTCTTTCACAGATTGTGGTTGATAGCCCAACTGTAACTTAAGGAAAAGTAAAGGTTATTCTGCTTTCATGTCTACAAAAGTTGTATTCGCAGAAGCTTCTAGTATCGAGGCCTCATTACCAGGGAGCAAATTCGTACATCTGATGCACCAATTTTGTTCTTTCGCCTGTGACGGCTGCCTGGAATTGGTGAATCATCCCTGTGATTCCATTCACCATGAATGGAAATGGCCAGAAACAGCAATCTGCAATGGTGGCTTTTGATGCTATTCAAAACTGATGGCTTTCCTGGGAAGAAGGATTGATTGTTAAACTGTCCTGGGAACTGTAGCCCTGTAAAGGTCTCCTAACAACTCTTAGCACCCTGTACAAACTATAGTTTCTAGGATTCTTTGGGGCAAATCACTTCTTAAAGTGGTATCATAGTGTTTTAAATGTATCGTGAAGATGTGGCCTAAGTTCCATTGCCCAATTGATTTCATCTACTTACCTCAAAGTATTCCATGTTTAACTTGATTGCCATATTGTAATCCTAAAATCCATTACTCGGGAGTAATCTTAGTATTTTCAATTAGGCTACACTAGCATAATAGGATCTCAGACACAATGAATGCATACATTTATATGAACTAGTTATATGTTTATACAAGGCCACATGCTTTGTTTATATGCTTTACATTTATATCATGTAGTAAAACCCATATTCTTTGGCTAATAAATATCAGAGTACACTAAGCTTCAAGTTGTGTGAACATCTCTGTGATCCAATTGTCTTTATTGCCCTTCTCAGAAAATTATAAACCTACTATCAAGACTTAATATCCCATCTAATCACATTTTAATTCATTTTAATTATATATGTTCTCTAAACAGGTCTCAGTTCAGAGTTTCCATTCAGCACAGCATTACAAAGCTTGGATAATTGGTACGATAATTTTAAATTTTAAAGGCAGTAAACATTTTCTAAGCGTATAATAAACCTTGGGAAGCTTCTCGTGGAAGATACTGGACTGTGAACAACAATGCCTTAAGAATTCATTTGCACTTGTGTAGAGTTAGTTTATGAGCAACCCAGTACTAAAAGCATTTTCCTTAGAGTATTGTTAATTTCTATAGAGTTTGCTCTTAAGTAAATACACTTAGTATTGTAAGCAAATGTCCAAATCCACCAAATAGATATGAGTGTTGTTGTTTAGTCGTTTAGTTGTGTCCGACTCTTTGTGACTCCATGGACTCCTTGTGCCCTCCATCTTTCCCAACATCAGGGTCTTTTCCAGGGAGTCTTCTCTTCTCATGAGGTGGCCAAAGTATTGGAAATCTCTCACTGCCTCCATTTCTTCCCCTTCTATTTGCCAGGAGGTGATGGGATCAGTGGCCATGATCTTCGTTTGTTTGTTTTTATGTTGAGCTTCAAACCATATTTTGCACTCTCATCTTTCACCCTCATTAAGAGCTTTTTTAATTCCTCCTCACTTTCTGCCATCAGTGTTGTGTCATCTGCATATCTGAGGTTGTTGATATTCCGGCAATCTTAATTCCGGCTAGGGATTCATCCAGCCCAGCCTTCCGCATGATGAATTCTGTATATAAGTTAAATAAGCAAGGAGACAATATGGAAGCCTTTTTCTTACACCACCAATATCTGGATGTTTGACCCTTTCTGAAGGCACTAGTTATGATTCTACACTACTATTTTCCCATGTCAAGTGCTGAATTAAGGGTGGAAACTGTACCTCTCCAATACCAATCCAGCCAGTGGTGTAGTTAGGGCTGGTCTTCATGAGTGAAGTCCAAGATCCCACAGTCCAGGAGAACCCCAAATACCTACTTGAGAGAGTGGGAGATGATGAGGTCAGTGGCAAACAGACCCTGCATCAGCACCTGAGTTGCTATGAGCATATCAAAGCCCACCAAGTCCAGCACCGACTGCCACAGCTTCCTCCCTTCCTATTATCAGCAACATTCATAAGGGAAGGCTGGCTAGGCATGTACATGGTTGCAGATGTTCATTTTATTATTTGGGTTTTAAAATACATTATCCCTTTCTACAACAATGATGGTCATTGCCAGGTAAATGTGTTCTGCATCACGGCAGCAGAAGCGAATGCCATGTTATTCCTGCATTCGTGATGGTGCAATATATGACGCTATGATTAAAGTGAGTTTAATATGTCACACTGCATGTGCTCAGAGTCTTCCTTCTTCATCAGGGTAGGCAAACTGTTGTTGCTCTAACATATCAGAAATGTAGCTGCAGCTGTAAAACATGGAATGGTAGCAGGGTGTGGGGAAGAGAAATGTTAATTGTGTGCATCATAACTGAAGTCATATACAAGGCTGTCTAAAGCCCACCCACCTCCAGGTATCCAATAAGAACATTAAGTCCAGGGTCTAAAATCACCTAACTATGCCACTGAATTCAATAGTCCAACCACTGCACAATGCCGGCTCTCTCTACACAAGTTTTGTGGAGTGAATAATCATTCTTTTGTCTGGAAAAAAAGCAGTGATGAATATGAAATATTCATTTGGCAACAAAACAGCAGGCCCAGGTGCAAATGGATGTCTGTGAAGCTGAGTCATTTCATTTGCTGGTTAAGTGTCATCCACCTTCTTTGAACTGCTCTAGAGGAAACAAGATGATGCTTAGAGTTGCAACCATCATTTTTGCCCTGAAACATCATACTGTCAATGTGTACACTTATGTATAAAAGCTATCCTCCGCACATGCTAAATAAAAGAATATATAGTTCACTATGGATATGACTGTTCCCTTCCCTTTCAAGGCCAATGAACTGCAATAGAGAAAGTATAAAAGCAACCACTTGAGAAGAATGAGGGACTTATGAACTTTCTGCACTTTTTGTTATTAAAATCTCCATGCTGCATACTCAGTATGGCACTAAGGCAGCCATGGATTGGTGGAAGTTTCTACCTAGAGTTTTCTTCTCTGCATGTGCCAGGTTATCTTGGATTCAACTGTATATCCAGAGTACAGTAAGTTTCTTTCTTACCAAGTTCCAGTGCTAGGCAGAATTCTAGAGGTGTAGACTGAAACCAGGGCTGGCCCACCCATGAGGCAGGCTGAGGCAGCCACCTCAGGAGGCGTAAGCCCATGAGGCTTCCCCACCCAACCTGCCACCTCCACCACTGGTGGAGAAGTAATGCCAGCAGTAGCTGCGGTTTCCAGAGGGAGATCCTGCTGAAATCTCGGCAAAATCTTGTGAGGTATCATGTGTTCCACAAGCTCTCATGACAGTTCTGCAAGATCTCATGAGATCTTGCCACTGCCACTGCTTCACAGGGACCACCGCACAACCCAGGTAAGGGCAGCACTGATGGAGGTGGCAGTGGCCCCCACTGAAAGATATATACACAGACACTTGCCACTACCATCTGCCCCAGTATTGCTCATCCAGTCTTTCCTAGGAACTAGTTCTCAGAATTATTTGGGGCAAGTCATGATGGTTTGAAAAGTGTTATCATGGTATGTGACTCCTGGAGTGTTGGCCAAGGATGAACCCTTTTTCCTTGGGCCAAAAAAATAAATTAAGTTTAACCTGCTTTAATACCTGCTTTAAGTCAGTTTGATGACATTATTTTCAGAAATATTAACACGATCCAACTAATGTGGGCTGCAGTAAAGGAGAAATATTATTAGACTACTTTTGAAATTTATCAAAATGAATCAATAATACTGTTTAAAGAATCTTGACACTGATCGTTTAAACAGGCAGGGGAAAGTCAATACAAACAAATAATGGCCTATTTCCTTAAATTTAGGGCTCTTTTATGTTCATATTTAAATGAGGATTATTTACAATGCAAAGCTTAAAATCCCCTAAACTTTGCTCTCACCCGGTTGAGGTAGTGACAGAATAAATGTATGGTTTAAGTGTAGACAGCACTTCTGCATGTAAAAGCTGATGTTAGCCATTGTATTAATTCACAATAGTTCCATAAATCTTGCGCCGATTGATAAATCAATCATACTTAATACTATTAAGCTTTCTTAATGCAAGCAATACAGAATATGTATAAGAGGGTGGGTGTAAAAATGCTGTTATTAGCATAATGGCAAGCACAGCAAAGGAGTGCGAGAAAGAAAGAAGAAAATCAGGAAACTGGGTCATGTAGCACATGCTAAGATTCCTTTGAGTTGTGAAAGATTTGTCAAAACCATAAAATTATTCTAGTCTGCTCCATCATTAAAAATGAGATTGCAATAGCACAATGGAAATGGGCTCCAAGTTATATGAAGCTACACACCCATGATCACTCAAGAGAAGGACCAAGGCATGTCCATGGCCAGCTATAGCTGACTCTTGATGTGCAGTGAGTGTGTTCTTCATAGGAACATAGCGAGCTGCCCGAGTCAGACCAATGGTCCATCTACCTCTGTACTGTAACACTCTATTCTGCCTTGGTCAGACCACACCCGGAATGCTGCATCCAGTTCTGGTCAACACAATCTAAGAAGGATATTGACAAGCTAGAACGTGTGCAGAGGAGGGCAACCAAGATGATCAAGGGCCTAGAAGCTAAACCTTATGAGGAACATTTGAAGGAGCTGGGTATGTTTAGCCTGAAAAAGAGGAGACTGAGAGGAGATATGATAGCCATCTTCAAATATCTCAAGGGCTCTCACATGGAAGAGGGAACAAACTTGTTTTCTCCTGCTCTGGAGGGTAGGACTCGAACCAATGGCTTCGAGTTACAAAAAAGGAGATTCCAACTAAACATCAGGAAGACCTTTCTGACAGTAAGCACTGTTCGACAGTGGAATGGACTCTCCTTTATTGGAGGCTTTTAAGCAGAAGTTGGGTGGCCATCTGTCATGGACGCTTTAGCTGAGATTCCTGCATTGCAGGAATTGGACTAGCTAATGCTTGATGTCCTTTCCAACTCTATAATTCTAGTATTCTACAATGACTGGCAGTGGCTCTCCAGGATTTGAGACAAGGCTGTTTCCCCCCAGCTTTAGCTGGAGATGTCAGGGATTGAACCTGGGGTGTTCTGCATGCAAAGCAAGCACTCTATCACTGATCCACAGTTCACCCTCCTAAAGTCAGTGAAAGCAGGCATGTTGTTAGTGAACCAATGCAGTGTCTTGCCCTGAACCCTGCCTCTCCTAACCTTTCCCTGCGTCTCAACCTTATTGCTAGAGCACTAAAAAGCCCAGAAGCAAATTCGCATCATGGGCCTATGTTAGGTATCTAACAGTGCCCACAGCTAGAAGGGGAGGCACTCCTCTGCTGGCAAGAAGTCTAATCAGGGAAAGTTTGTAGAGCATATGCTTTGCATGTAGAAGGTCCAAAATTCAATCTCCAGCATCTCTACCTAGGGCTGGGAAAGACTCCCTGTCTGAAACCCTGTAAAGCCACTGTCAGAGACTGGTCAAGGATGAGCTGACTCTTCCTAAAGCAGCTTCCTGGGTCTTTGATTTGTGGCAGTATTCAAACCACTAGGCAAGGGGAGAGTGAGATAGCATGGTCCACTCCCTCAGCTCAACAGGGACTAGCTGCAATTTCACACATGTTCGTTCATTATAATCATACTACGTTTCCACATTGATTTTGTTTTTAAAAAACAAAATTGTTTATGGAAATTGCCATTTTGATATATATTTTATCTTCAAATCCTTTATCCTCAAATACATTTTAATGCCTTTGGGTATGTTTCTTGAGCTAAGAGCTATATTGTAAAATTCAGAGAAGTGCAAAATCTGAAGGATAATTACCTTTGGATCCACACATTAGCCACAGAGGTATTGATCAAGTCAGTTTCCTCCAGAATTCACAGAAATCAAATTCCTCAAACATCCCTACTGTGGAGTAGATTAAGTTGAGTGACAGTGACCTGCCCAAGGTTATCTAATGAGCTTCAGGCCTTGAATGAGCCACATTCTTTGTGCCAAGATTTTGAGGTTTTGTGCAATGTTTGTTCAGCCAGGGCAAAGCGAGGTGACTGCCTCAGGCAGTAGATGCTGGTGAGCAGCAATAGCCTCAGCCTAAGCCCTCTACCTTTCAACTTTGTTGCCACGTGGCCCATCCTGGGCCTCCTAAACTGGCCTGTTGCCTCAGGTGTGGAAGAGGATGCTATCTTATCACTATACAGTAATGCTTCGGGTTGCACGATTTCAGGCTGTGCACCGCACCGAACCCAGAAGTACCGGAACGGGTTACTTCCAGGTTTCAGTGCTTGCACATGCACAGAAGTGCTAAATCGTGCTTTGTGCATGCACAGAAGCACTGAATCGTGACGCGGCACTGCGGGTTGCTTCCCACACGGATCACATTCGCAACCCAAGCATTCACTGTAATAGACCTTTGATCTAAATCAATGGGACTTAAGACATGTCTCACTTTTCATGTTGATTTCAACAGAGTTAAGGTGATCACCAAAGAAGAACTTAGTTTGGGTTGAACCTAGCAGTAGTAATAGTGCTGATACTGCAGGACTCTTGCTCAGAAGGACACAAAGTTCCTGGAATGGTCCTGTGTTGGCCTGCAGAAATCATGCACTGTATTTACCATTCTGGGCATGGAGAGTTGGGATGAATACAAAGGTGGCTGCATTGCAAATAAGGTGAGCAACAGGGGATCACTGAAAGGGGCAAGAGGGAGACTTAATATTAAAGGAAGGTTTTGCATGTGTCTGAACCATTTTGCTCTTCATTGAATTTAAAATACAGAATGTTAGTCTGTTTGCACTAATACATTTGATTAACTCTACTGGCTTCTGGCATTTTCCTAGTAAAACTCAATTCTATTCATATAGATTTTGTAGACAGCATCTTAAAAATCCAGGCTGCCGTGAAATTCAAGGGGGCTGGGGGTAGGAAATCATTTGCTGATTTCAGTAAAGTGTAGATTAGAACCTTAATTGCAAGAATTTAAATAAGGGGGAAGAGCTCGCTAATGCCTCTGTCTTGGGATTGCTATAAGACATTTTCCTGTATGTCTTGCTGTCAAGCAGCTGTTGTTACAGAAATGGCATTTACCTCCTGTCATCCTGGATGAAACTTAAAAGGAAAGCCTATGGATAAAAGGCCTTCTGTTGTTGCAATTTATCCTGTCTAATTAGCCTCAGGGTCAGATTTGTATCGAGAAGTTTATGGATCAAGAAAAATAGAAATTCCCAGAAACAATGGCCACAATCCAAAAGCCCATGTAACCAGCTCAGCAAGCCTAGAGACACTCTTGACAAACAAATTCAACACCATTACCAGGAACAGACAGCATGGTGGAGCGCAGGTGCTTACCTGACACTCCTGGCAGGTGTGTCACTGCTGCTTACTGGAAATGGGAGGGGCAAGACATTGGGGAGGGTGGCCTAGTGCACCGGATTGATTCCGCTGGCGCATTTGCACCACGCTGACCTCACCATTACTTCCCCCTCCCCCACCTGGTAAGCAGCTGTGACTCACCTTTTGTCTGCCCTGGATCTTCCAACATTCTCTATCCACTTTCTCAATACCATGCATAATCTTATAGACCTGCACCATACCCCTACTCTACTTGCCTTTTCCCCACTCCTAAACAAAGAAAAGCCCCACATGTTGTAGCCCTTGTGTCACTGGGGAGTCGCTCCAGACCCCTGAACATTTTGGTTGCCCTTTCAAAATGGTATGAGGGGTGGCTGCTCTTCCAAGAGAAACATTCCCAGAAATCCCACTGTTGTGCTCAAGACGTCACGGACCTCTTTCTGTCATTTACATGTCATCCAAAAAACACACACCATTCACTCCAGCTTTGGTTGTAGTTTCAGGTCTTTTAGCTGAGACCAGGATGCCACTTGAAATGCAATAGCACAACAGATGTGTAAACATCTGCTTGCACACCAGCAGCCAAAGTGGTGCCAAAGGATCTGTCTGCTTGTCCCACTGACTTCAATCAACCTGAAGAGTGTTCCATATAAGCACTTCAACTTGCAGATTGGGCTCTAAATCATTTGTTCCAGCTCAGTCCAAAAGGTGTTTGTCAATCCATAAATGCTCTTTTAATTGAAAATTAGCAAGGGAGCAAAACCTTTGTCAGTAATCTGCATCTTGAAAACTTCCTTCTGACATTTCAAGACGCATCAATCATATCTCTCATCTGAGTGAACCAAATCCATGGAGGCACTACTTCAATTGTCAAAAAACATTTTTAGTAGTTCCCCAAAAGAGGTTCGGATAGATCAGATGAATGTAAATGGTTCTCTTGTAAGACTGCAAGATGCTTATTTTTTTATTTAAAAAAATCAGAATCAGTTTTAGCCAGATGTGACTTTGGGTACTTCCAGTAGAGACAACCTTTCTTTTGCAGGAAGGATTCAGTCACATACCATTGAATTCAGGCTGCATGGTTAAAACAGACTGGGTGCTCCAGTGATGGGGAAATGCACTGGGTAGAATAACAATAGCATAAAACATGTTATCATTTCCATAAGCTCAATAAACAGCCATCATACAACCTCTTCACAAACTTTGTGGAAACAAATCAGGATGGGTGCTGAATAAATAGGTCATCTGGAAGCAGCCTTATGGTCACAAGTTGATGGGTGCCTATGGGATGACAGAACATGCAATTACCTACGTGTGAAAATGTGACCTGTGAACTGATGAGATAGCAGATATTTATATGCTGCTTTTCCAGGAAAAGCCCATTCAAAGTGGCTTACAGCTCTAAAGTGGTTTGTGTCTCCATATGATGTTAAAAGGCTGCTAAGCAACAGCTAAAAGGTGTGGTAATTTGTGCTGAATTTAATGGGGCTACAGAGTGAGAATTGCAATGAGCAAGAATTGCAGAGTGAGAATCACTGACTGCTGAATTGCAGAATGAGAATCACTGACTTTCTGTATTCCAGCTACTTGGCCATCTCTGCTAATTTCATCCAGGATGGCTGCAGACTCAAATTAAGGAGCACAGAGGATTTGTTAGGCAATTGCTTGGACTATGTGCATTGTAAACCCTTTCTGAGCCTAATGGAAGCTTTCATTTTGGCGTACTCATGGAATGATGTAGAAGACTGGCTCTCTTCCACTCTGTGATTAGACCATACCCAGCCTGCAGGATGGGGTTTCACAATGCATTCAGTGACCATCCTCTCTCCCTGCTGCCCAGCATCAAGTGTATTAACTCTTCCCCAATTTATTTGTGCATTGCAGAGCAGGCAGAGGCAGAAGGAGTCTCTCACTACATGCTGTGTGAGAGAGGTGCTGACCCACTCCCAAGCTCTCTGGCATGTGTGGATTATGTGGGGGAAAGGAAGAGATCAGTCTCTTGCTTCTCTGTGGGCTTCAGAGGCACTCAAAAGCAACCTGAGTTAATCTTGGTGCTGCAGCAGATCCAAGAGAGGAGCAGATTCAAGAGAGAAGCACCTTTTCAAAACTGATTTTAATATTGTGTTTAAATGTTGTAATGCACCTTGGGACCTTAGGGTGAGGGACAGGTGGACAGGAAAGAGGAAGCCTGGCTCTTTTCCTTTTCTGAGTCTTCTAGAAGACTTGCAAGAGAAGAGGGGTAACCACGAACAATAGCTACTGCTTCAAGCCTTTTTCTGAAAAGCACTCCATTCTGTCTGCACAGGGAAATAGCACAGCATACCTCATCTTTCTGATACTATTAACATAATTTATGATACAAGGAAGGGACTCCAGCAGTAGACCAAGGCTCTGCAATGGCGCTCCAGAGAGGCTGCCAGAGAGAGCCATTAGCAAAGGTCGCCATAATCTTCTGGACATATCAATAGTTCTTTGGTGCGACAATTGGTGGAGTTTTCAGAAATGCCTTGTATATATCCAAATATAAAGGATCAAACCAGACCACCCTTCCAGAAACTGATACCTTCCAAACATTTTGGGGTACAACTCCCATCAGGCAGCTAGGTCAGGGAATGATGGACTTTACCAAGAATTATTCTTGCCAATGGGGGGAGGGAATCACAAATACATCAACTGTTCCATCTTGACAATGTTTTTTTTTTTTTCTGGATTAGGAGCTATTTAACTATACATGTAGAAAGAAGGAGAGAGAAAGAGAGAGCTATGACTACCTAAAGCAGCAGTCCTGGCTG